CCCCCCCCCCCCCCCCCGCGTACTGTTCTCTTTATACGCAAGATTCCCGGGAATTGGGTTTTCGCTCGGGATTTGTTCTAAATACATCTCGTTCCGAATTATGTTCCCGCTGCAGCGCTGGCCTCATTTCCGCGCTTCTGCTCGTTCAGAATCGTGCTCCCGCCGCAGCGCTGGCTTCATTTCTGCGCTTCCACTCGTTCCGAATGGTGCTCCCGCTGCAGCGCTGGCGTCATTATTTCCAGTGCCATACCACGGCATGCGATGAAATGCTGCGTGGTGCTCCGCTATGCGATGCCATGCCTTCAGCTGCAATGCTAGGTTATGCAGTGCTTGACTACGCAGTGCCACGCCATGCTACGCCATGCTACGTTCTGATCTTCAACGCCATGCTATGCCATGTTATGTTTTGTGCCGCTGTGCGACGCAACTATTTGCGTTGCAATACTTTGTGATGCATTTCTTCACTACGCAAATGCCACGCCATGCTATGACATACTACGCTCGGCCGTGCTCTTCTACGCCCTGCTACGCCGTGCTCTAAGATCCATCGCGCACCCTCCCGTCATCGTTGCCCTGTTTGACATCCGACTGTGCGAATAGAGAGGATATCTTCGCCATGGTAAGGGATGGGAGGGAGGAGTAGGACGTCAGATATGACGCGAGCGCACCTAGCTTGCCCTCCTCCTCCTCCTCCTCCTCCTCCTCCTCCTCCTCCTCCTCCCAATCCTCCTCCTCCTCCCCCTCCTCCTCCTCCTCCTCCGATGGCAGCACCAGTGGGATGGGAATGGATTGCCAAGAGGTGGTCGATTCCAGAAGCCCTGAACTCACGAGCGGTGAACACACCCGATTCTGCGCCCTCGCGGTCTGGATTCTGGAGCACGATCCCGCAGACACGCGGTCGCGCGGACACGTTCCGCGCGGGGCATCCGCGAACAAAAATGCCCCGCATCCGCGGGGTCACGGCCCAGGGGCCCGGCCCGCGAGGCCGTGGATTCAGAGACGTCTCTCGCCCGCGAGGAACGCAAAAATTGTTGCACCTCCGCCGCTCCGCGACGAGCTTCGGCCACCTTCATTCCCGGCCCTCCGCGGCCCTCCGCCGAGGAAGAGGCGTCAGCTCCTCGACCTCCTCCTCCTCCTCCTCCTCCTCCGCCTCCTCCTCCTCCTCCTCCTCCGTCAGCTCCTCGACCCCTCGAGGGCGAGGCCCCTCCTGGAGCGCCGGGGGCACGGGCCGCGGAGCCAGGCGGGCCCCGAAGCCCAAGGGAGCTCTCCCCAGGCCCAGCCTCTCGCCCGGAGGGGCGCCTCCTCCGTGGGGCCCCGAGGAGGGCGAGCCTTGGAAGCGGCAGTAAGTAGGCCCCCCTGGGGCCCCCTGCTGCTCGCTCCACAGGGGCTGTGAGGAGGAGGAGGAGGAGGAGAAGGAGGAGGAGGAGGAGGAGGAGGAGGAGGAGGGGGAGGAGGAGGAGCTTATATATACGACCACGTCAGAGCTCAAAGGTGAATGAACGGAGACAATTGTGCTGTAAAGTGCCGAACTCGGCACACTCGCGTGCATTCGTGAGGGCGGAGCTCGTGGCTAGCGGGGGGCTAAAACTCGCTAAGCGCGGCATGCACAGGCGCGGCTCGAGCGGCGGGCGGCGAGCAAGGCGCGAGTGCCAGGCCTCCTATCTTCACAAGTGGCCATTTTGGTGCTGTCCCCTCGCCCCCCGCAGCTCTGGGAGGTGGAGGGGATCGGAGAATTCGCCCCCATGGCTTGGCCAGGGAGGCGCGGGCCCCGTAAATGGGGACTCCGATACAAACCAAGACGCTGAAGCACCAAAGAACACCGCAACCGCGGGCAGGAATGTTCTCCAACAGGCGCGTCCCCCCTTTGGATCTGGCAGGGCCCTGGTCTGCGACATCCTGGGCCCTGGTCTCCTCTTCCTCCTCCTCCTCCTCCTCCTCCTCCTCCTCCTCCTCCTCATCCTCCTCCTCCTCCTCCTCCTCTGCTCCTCCTCCTGCTCCTCCTCTTCTTTTTTCTTTTCCTCCTCCTCCTCCTCCTCCTCCTCCTCCTCCTCCTCCGCCTCCTCCTCCTCCTCCTCCTCCTCCTCCGCCACCTCCTCCTCCTCCTCCTCCTCCTCCTCCTCCTCCTCCTCTTCCTCCTCCTCATGGAGCCCCGGGCAGCGCCCGCAGGATGAGCGCCAGGCGCACGAGAGCAGTGAAGAGGGGCAGGGCTGGCTGCAGCTCGGAGCGGGGGCCAAGCGTGGGAGGAGGCGCGTGCGCCCGGAAAGTCGGCGCGCCCATCCCTCCACTGGGTGAACAAAAAAACGGCATAGACATAAACTTTTGGCGCTCCGCGCGGATTTCTTGGATCTGCGCTGGACCCCATCGCGCGCCAGGGGCGGCGCCGGGGGCACCGCCGGGGGGGGCCCATCGCGGATACAAGAAATCCGCACGGAGCACCAATAGTTATGTTTATGGCGCTTATGCTTAGGTTTATCCCTAGTATTTCTATTATTAGTAATGCTCTTAAACGTATTAGTACTGTTATGATTAGCAGTAGTATTAGTGCCTGTATTACTAGTATTATTATGAATAGTGTTAGTATATGTAGTAGCGCGGTAGTAATATCATTATTATTGCTATAATTTGTAATTTTACCATGTATACATGCAGTCGATGGGTCCACATCCATCCGCGGGCATGTCGGGCATATCCTCCTACAGGTGAGTTTTGAAGAACCATTACAAATGTCCCCAATAATATTCAAAAGTTGCCACTCAGAGAAAGGATTATAATCATCGTGCCCCGACTATATTTTTACCTATGTTTGAGTCGTCCTCCTGTAGGGGGACGTGCCCGACTTAGCCAACCACGCGGTCCATGTGTCCACGTTCCTCCGCGGCCTGCGCGCGTCCCCAGAGGAGGGCCGGCTTGAGACAGATCGGCCGTGCCCTTCTCGCTGCCGGAACGTGTTGGAACGTTTTGGCAAGCAACGTCGTGCAGAGGGGACGGGGAGTAAGGAAACGAGCTCTATCCACCGACGCTGTTTCCGACCCTGCGCTGAAATTCGCACAGGAACGCGGATCCGGGTGTAGACGGCATCCTGGTGTATACAGTTTTCGTTGTTTCCCTTGGAAAACTGGGGAGAAGTATACACCACACCACCCCGACCCTCAGAAAGACGTGGGATTGAAACACGACCCGCCACTGGTAATGTATATGTTCCAGTTTCCGAGGCAGGGGAAAAAGGAAGGGACCAGCAAGCACCAAGCGCAAAGCCTCAATCGGCACACCCGCGCTCCCGTGCCAGCTGATCGGCCACCGCTGCGATGCGACCGTGGCGCAGCAGGGCCCTCTCGCTGCTGGAGGAGGAGGGCTCTCCTGGAGGAGTGGGGCCCCGCGGTCAAGTCGGGCCTGTCCCCCTACAGGCCGATTGTGGACGAAAAATCAAAAATAGCAACAACAACAACAAAAAAATCCCCAAAATGGTCCAAAGAATCAAAAAAAAGTCCCCAGACTATGTTTTGACGATTTGGGGATATTCCTCCTGTGGAGGGACAGGCCCGACTTAACCCTGCGGTCCCCTGCCGAGCTCCCCCTCCCAGAGGGGAAACGAGGAATGGCATGAACATAAAACCTCGGAGGTCCGCGGGGACTTCTCGGATCCGCGCTGGAGGAAGAATCGCATGAGCGCAAAAGCTCGGAGGTCCGCGCGGATTTCTCGGATCCGCGCTGGGGGTCCCTTGGCGGCGCCTCCGGCGCCGCCCCTGGCGCGCTCCGCGCGCCGGGGAGGGGGATCCAGCGCCGATCCGAGAAATCCGCGCGGACCTCCGAGTTTTTATGTTCATGTCATTCTTCGTTCCCCGATCCCCTGCCCCGATTCCTGGGTCCAGGGGCCCTCCGGGCCTTGTGCGAGATGTCAAGAGGAGCCGAGGGGATGGCGGCCTGTTCGTTCGAACAGCGGTTGTCGCTCTTGCTCAAGACTTCGCCCAAGCCCTGTGGTCGGAGATCAGAACTGTGCCACGGCTGCCGGGTGCAGGGCTGGTCCTTGTCGACAAAGGGCCCTCGCTTGGGACTGCCGCTGAAATTATGGCCAAGAAGTTCTGGAATTGTGCGACACGTGCGCGGATGAGCACACCCTGTCCACAACGGGGCCATCGGTGAACACGCTATTTCATCCTACTTCTGAGTCGCTAGAAGGATAAGACCCTTTGCAAAACGGGGCCACGCACGAGTAGTCTACTTCATCCTACCTCAGTCGCTAGAAGGACGGAGGACCCTTCGCAAAACGCGAGTAGTAGGCCCACCGGCCGCTCGGGGGCGCTTCCCGCAGTGCAGAGGAAGCACTTCTTGTAGGGCCTTAGGGGACACAGGGCCGAAAGAAGTTTTGCAGCATGGTTGACGCAACTTGGGTTTGCTCTCGTCCTCCTCCTCCTCCTCCTTGTTTTCCTCCTCCTCGCCCTCGTCGTTCCTCTCCTCCTCCTCCTCCTCCTCCTCCTCCTCCTCCTCCTCCTCCTCCTGATATCCTCCTCATCTCCTCCTCCTCCTCCTCCTCATCCTCCTCCTCCTCCAACTTGCCCTTTCCATCCTCATCCCCGGGGGTTTCTGGGGGTCTGTGAAACTCCCAAAGAGTCCCAGGATGCCACAGGCAACCTCCTGAGGCCTCCGGGAACGCGACAAACGTCAAAACATAGGAGGTCGGTGTTGCAACCATTCCCCCTGGTCCTGCCCCCATTCCCCTGATCGCCATCCAACTGAAGATGCCACGATATCTTGCGATGCAACTGGGCCGCACCCAGGCAATCGCACTCGGGTCCCGCCTTTTCGCAGGCGCTCATCGCGGCACCGAACACGATCACCTGGCCAGCAGCACTGCCAACTGCTGCTGCTATATCATTGTCATCCTCGCACCACCGCGGCATATCTCTATCTAGGTTTGTATCACTCGACATCGTGCTCTCTCGAACTCTCTTTCTCTCTTCATCTCTCCCCCTCGCGCTCTCTCCCTCTCTCTCTCTCTCTCTATCTCTCTCTCTTCTTTCTCTCTCCCTCTCTCTCTCTCTCTCTCTCTCTCTCCCTCTTAGGGCCCTAAGACGGCCCAAAAGGGCTCTAAGACAGACCAAGAGGGCCCAAGACGGCCCAAGAGAGCCCCAAGACGGCCCCAAGAGAGGCCCAAGAGGGGGAAGCCGAACCCGAAATCCGAGCCTTCCGCCCGAAAAAAACAAACAGGATGGCCCAAGAGCCGCCCGAGGGGCCCGAAGAGGCCCCCAAGAGGCCCCCACGAGGCCCAAAGAGGCCCCCAAGAGGCCCCAGGAGGCGCCCCAAAACAGCCTCCCAGGGGCTTCAAAACTGCCTACAGAAAGCCTCCGAGAGGCCTCCCCGAGATCCCAACGAACATCCAAGAGGCCTCAGACCCACAACCCAGGCACGGTGGCGGGGCGCGATAGGCCGAAGGCCATTCAGAAGATGTGCGCATTTGGTTCCATCCCATACTACGTGTCTGATCTCTTATACATTTACATGCATCTGAGCATATACCGCAAATTGGCATACACCTAAACATGTGCAACTACATACACCTATGTATATACGTATGCGCATATGTATACATATACGTGTAAACTCACAAGCATATATATATACACCTATGTAAATATGCATATATATATACATATATGATCACATAAACACCTACACGATATAAACATACAGCTAGGCAAATACACAAACATTGGCATAAACATACACAGCATTCACATAAACTTGCACATATATGTATACGAGCACACCTACACATACATATGCATAGTAGCAAGCATACAGTTATACACACAAACACAAGCACAACCACCTACGCAAACACCTATACATACGCACACACGTACACACATATACATGTAACAATGTACGAACGTAAACGTATTAGCATACGTATGTATGCGTAGTCGTAAACCGTGTATGTACGTGTACAGCTACATCGCCATACACCTAGACATAGACATAGACATCAACATTCACACCTACCTATACAAGGATACACATACCTGGGCATACGCATATAAACATAAACACGCATATATACATACACGCATTCTTAATTAAATATACACACTAATACAAATCTACATATGACACACATATACGTACACAGAAACTGGTACTGGTACAACTGCAGCTACATAGACGTATACGTATCCATAAAGATAGACGTACAATTTCACATCTGCACATACATCTACATACACAGATGCATACACGCATACATACACGCTCAACTATACATTGCCCTGGACTCAAACATATGCAATTGCATGGACATATACGAATGCATCAAATGCATGCATATTCACAGGCGCATGGAAATCAACATACAAACTTACATATACATGTAAAGTTATACAATACACAGATATGCATATACGTAGACATATAGATACGCATGATCATATCAATGCTCAGTCACACACACATACACATAGGCATACGCATACACATACACACACATGTCCACATACGTGTGTACATACCTATGTACATACGTAGACATACAAATATAGACATACACGCGCATAGGCACATAGCCGTATACATGTACACATATATAGATGTGTGCATATATGTACATATATGTGTGTGTAAGTTTACTTCTGTATGTTGCCATGTACATGTGCATACATAGAAAGGGCATCAGTATTTCCCAAACAGCGATTGTACTTAGGAGTTCTGAACTCCAACGAACTGGGCGGACGCGCCGCTCTGGCATCTACGTGCCCTGTCATCGCCGCCCCGCCGCCGCCTCGTCGCTGCCCGTCGTCTGGGTCGGCGTGCCGCTGTGGCGGCTATATGGCCGCCGTCGCCGCCCCGTCGCCACCTCGTCGCCGCCCGTCGCTTGGGCCGGTGGTCCGCTCTGGCGGCTGTGTGGCCGCCGTCGCCGCCCGGTCGCCGCCTCGTCGCCGCCTGTCGTCTGGGCCACCCTGGCGGTCTGGCAGCTATGTTGTCGCAGTCGCCGCCCCGTCGCCGCCTCGTCGCTGCCCGTCGGCTGCGCACTTGTGGCAGTCTGGCGGCTCTTGCGTCACCGTCGCCGCCCCGTCGCCGCCTCGTCGCCGCACAGATTGCACACCACATCGATTGCACCACATAGATTGCAGCACATGGATTGCACAACGCGGACTGCACAACACGAAATGCACAACATAAATTGCACAGCATTGGTTGCACAACATAAAACAAACGGTTCGAGCTATACAAAAAAAGGTTGCACCGTAATGTTCGTGCAATGCATCGATTGAGCGCCGCATACTTTGCACAACATAGATTGCACAACAAACTTCACAACATATAACGCACCATATAACATCTCCTTTTTTTTTAAAAAAAAAAAAAAAAAAAAAAAAAAAAAAAAAAAAAAAAAAAAAAAAAAAAAAAAAAAAAAAAAAAAAAAAAAAAAAAAAAAAAAAAAAAAAAAAAAAAAAAAAAAAAAAAAAAAAAAAAAAAAAAAAAAAAAAAAAAAAAAAAAAAAAAAAAAAAAAAAAAAAAAAAAAAAAAAACCACGGCGAATTCCCCGCCCTGTGAATGTGCAATGCATATATAAGTTTGCCACATCGTTCATTGTGAATGCAGACCCATACCATCCCAGCCAGGCCGGTACCGACACCCCCATTCAGGCTTTGCACAAAGCTCTTTACGCTCACACCCGCGTATCCAAAATAGGAATCCCGGGTAAAAGCGGGACGAAGTGCTCAAGCGCGCGTCGTCGCGCAAGCATACCGGCATCCTTCAAAAACGTCGGGTATCGTCTGATGTTCGAATAGAATGTCCACATAAAAAACACATGGTTCAGCAACATCACTGTTCAAAACAATGTCTGCGCGCACTTGTGCGATATCGTTGGGGAATCCCGAAGTTGTTGTCAACATCTTTTTCAAATGCAGCCAAACTGGTCTCTCGCTCGCGCGCATGTCGAAATCATTCGAAAGCCCTTGCACGCGTGCTCGGGGGGGGGACACGATCCTTGCAAAATAATACCATACGGGCCACTCGCGCCCGTCGGCCGCGCGTGTACGCCGAAATCCTTGTCACAGCTTTCATCACAGACGCGTGCACACCATCGTCGTCATCGGCGTGATCAAAATCGGCGCCGTCATGTGCCTTGCCGTCGTCATCGTCACCATCGTCACGAACATCGCCGCAATCACCATGGTGTCTGCCGTTGTCGATGTCGACATGATACCGCGCCCGCGCGAGTCTTCGACTCGAAATTCGAAATGCCCGCGCGTCAGCGCACCCTGTGAGACGCGTTGAGAAGTCCCCAGCGGTCAGCGCCACCGCGGTCGCGTCGGTCGCGCCGCACTAGCTAGCCGCCCTGAGCGCGAGCCTGCGCGCGCTAGCGCGGCCGCAACGATGCGCCGGCCAGCGCCACGCAAGCATCAGACTTGCCGCTCCAAAGGTTTTGCAAACCAAGTTGCGGGTGGGTGGGTGGAACTATCGTGCGAGCAGTGGGGCTGACAACTCACGAGTGAGCATTGGTGAATTGCACCACATGTATTGCGCAACATCGGTTGCACAACAGATAATTGCACAACATATATTGCACAACACACATTGGACCACATAGACTGCACGGCATATATTGCACACAAGAGATTGCATCACATGTATTACACAACCTAAGTTGCACCAAATATATCAAATCAAAGATATTGCAATGCATAGATTGCGCACAACTTTGATTGGCCAACATACGTTGCACAACCTATCGTACACTGCATAGACTGCATAACATAAAGTACAACATACATTGCGCAGCACATAGTCTTACAAACCCACTAGTTGGGGTCCACGGTGGCTGATATACCTACAAATAATTAATATGGCAATACCGGCATGAATGCATACATATACACAAACAGGTGTGATCTCTCTCTCTCTCTCTCTCTCTTTCGCTCGTTGCCCATCCTCCCCTTCATTCCTCTCCCTCCCTCCCTCTCTCTCTCTCTCTCTCTCTCTCTCTCTCTCCCTGTCCTCCCACTACCACCACCACCACTCCCTCCTGCCCTCCCTCCTGCCCTCCCTCCTCCCACCCGCCCTCCTCCCCGCCCAAGCGCCCTTCACCCCCCCCCCACCCTTCCGGCACCCCTCCCGCCCCCTCCCGCGGCAGGGGGGGGGGAGGTCACGTCGCGCCCGACGCCCCTCCGCCGCATGTCGCCGAGGCACACGAGCGCCCAGGGCCAGCTGCGCCCCTTCTCGCACGCCGAGATCGCGGCGCTGGGCGCGGCGGCATTTTCGGCGGGGGGGGCTCCCCGGAGGGGCTGCTCGGCGGCTGGCTACCTACCAGACCACCCTAACCCAACCCGAAGACCCGAATTTCGGGTTGGGGGGGGGTAAGGGCTCCACATGTGTTTTTGTCGATGTTTCCCGACCCCCCCCACACTGGAAATCGAAGGTAAAGCTGAGCCTTCGGGTTGGGTTGGTGTGGTTTGGTGGGTGGTGAGCGGCAGCTCGGAGGCGCCTCGGAGCCGTTCGGGAGAGCTCCGAGGGCCTCCCGAGAGCTCACAGGGGGCTCGCGGCGGCCCTCGGAGGTCGAGGCGCCAGGGCGCTGCAGATGGACTTGTCGCTGGCGGCGGAGACGGCGGGGCGGCCCGCGGGTGCGGGAAAGGGAGGCAGGAGAGAGGGAGAGAGAGAGAGATATATATATATATATATATATATATATATATATAATATAGAGAGAGAGAGAGAGAGAGAGAGAGAATGGGGGAGGTAATTAGAGAGGAGGAAAAAAGATTGAGGGAGAGAGAGAGAGAGAGAGAGAAAGAGAGAGAGAGCGAGAGAGAGTGCCTGTTTGCGTGAAAGAGAGAATGAGAAAGACAGGGAGAGAGGTAAACAATGAGAGAGCGAGAGAGAGAAACAGGAGAGAAAGAGAGAGAGAGGGGAAGAGAAACAGAGAAACCGCCACAGAGAAAGAGAGGAAGAGAGAGGGGGGGGACGAGGGGAACGCCCCCGCCCCCACCAGATCTGCCCGGCCGAGGCCTCCTGGGAATTGCCGACGAGGCCCCTCGCGGCAGGGGAGGGCGCCTCCGTGGAGGCGCAGCGCGCCCTCCCAGAGGGGCCGCCGCCCCCAGTAGCGCCCCGCGCACCGCCGGGGCTGCGCCGGCGTCGTCGGGGGCGCGGCTGCGCCTGTGGGGGGCCTCGGGGGGGCCTCTGTGGGGGCCTCTGTGGGGGCCTCTCGTGGGGCGCCCTTTGGGAGCCTCGGGGAGAGATCGGTCCAGGGAGGGGAGCTCCCTCCCCAGGGAGTCCTCACCCAGGAGACCTGAATGTCCCAAGGCTCCCTGCCTAGGGGAGCCTGGCGGCATCGGCGGAGGGCGGCCACCCCCTCCCAGCCCCCCTTCGGCGGCGGCGGCGGCGGCGGCACGGTCGGCGCCCCCTCTTCCTCCAGGGGTGGGAGCCCCTCGGGCTGAGACCCAGGTACGGCGCTTAGCGGCAATGCTGCACTGCCACGGCGCCTCTGAGTGGGCGGGCCGACCAGGCTCGCCCCAGCCAAAGGCTGGGGAGCCTGCGACAAGGCCAGAGGACGCATGCCGCATTTTCATCTTGCGGGCCTCCTGGGGGTCTCTTGGGGCCCTCCTGGAGCACCAATGGAACCTCGGGGGCAACCCTGGGAGAGATCGATCCAAGGAGGGGGGCTCCCTACCCAGGGCTCCCCACCCAGGAGGCCGGGGTGTGGCCAAAACCTTAGATGGCGGGGGAATGGATTGCAGGGGGGGGAAGGGCAGAACCTGCTGCGCGCAGCTGCTTTCGCGCCCCTGCGCCGGGCGCTGTTCGAGACACGTGATGATGGGAGCTCGGGGGTCTTCTGACCCGGGTCAATCCAGACCCGGGTCAGTCAGGCCTTGCAGAATCTTGCAAGATCCTACACCCAAACCTGGGTCATTGCGAGAGATCCTGCAGGATCCTGCGGGATCCTGCACCCAAGCCCGGGTCAGTGCGACCCTGGCCCCGCAGGATCCTGCAAGATCGGGCGCTCTGGCTGACCCCCGTTTGCGTTGACCCCCGTCTCAAGACTTCCGAGTTCCCTCGTGCTGCCTTCGTCCAGCCTCTTGCTGCAGAGCGAGAAACGAAAGAGGTGGACGTTCACCTTGAAGCCTTGCAAAACATCGGGAGAGAGAGAGGAAAAAAACGAAAAACAACAATAACATCGCCAACACATGAACAACAACAACAACAACAACAATTACTAGCACGTGGGGACACTCCGTTCTCACCAGTGCCAGGGTTTTCATAGGAGGCGGGCAATACCCCCACTTTGTGGGGGGGCCGGTTCAAGCTCTACCAAATTTCCAAACGACTCTTCGCCACCACCCACACCCAGCTTCCCGCCCTATGACGTTCGGACACTTCACTTCGTGGCATGCGGACGACCGTGGCTACTATTCAGGGCCCCGCGGCCGACGACGACGGCGTGCGCGCGCGAAGAAAAAACGAATGTGTCCCGCATGGTATTATTTGACAGGGATGATGGCCCTGGCAGGTGCGCAACCGTTGTTGCAGAAGTTCGAAAAAGTTGCTCGCAAAAACCCGTTTGACAGAAATGTTTAAAAAGTGTTGGGTTTCCTACGAATCCGCAAGAGCGCGCGGGATGAAATTTTGACATTTTTTTTGAAAAACCATTGGTTTTTTATGTTTTTATGTTAAAATCGTTACGAAAACAAAGGTTTTGGAAGGATTTCGTCTTGCGCGCGCGAATGTCCACTTTACCTTATTTTTTGCAAGGGATTATTGAAGTTTGGTTATGTTAGAACAAGAAATGTCCACTTTAGCTTATTTTTTGCAAGGGAAAACCGCCCGTAACAAAACAACCGGATCCGGACCAACCCGTTTTGCCTGAGACTTCCTCGCGAAAATGATGAAAACGTGGCTGCGGCCTAGGCGCGGCGGGGGGGTCGTGCACCAGGGGTCCCAACAATAATTGTTCTTTAGAAGTAAAAACGTTCAACAACAACAACAACAACAACAACAACAACTACAACAACAACAACAACAATGAAGCGTGAAACAGGGCTCCAGAGGAGCCCCAGAGAATACATTAACCAAGCATGGCCGCGAGGATTGCTTTGGCGGAAAAAAAAAAAAAAAAAAAAAAAAAAAAAACTCCCGAGGAGCCCCCGGGCGCCCCGTGCTGGTCGCAGGAGGCGCCCCCCCCCTCGTGGCGGTCCGCTCTGCCCCGCCGCCTCGGCTTAGGTCGGGCCTGTGCCCCTAGAGGGGGATCTTGGACGAAAAACAAAAAATACACGAAAAATGCTCCAAACATATGCCCGAAAATACACAAAAAAAAATCCCCCCCGACTATTGTTTGACTACTTTTGAATATTCCCCCTGTAGAGGGACAGGCCCGACTTAAACCTCGGCGGCAGCAGCGCCTCGCCCCAGCGAGGAGCCGCCTCGAGCGCCGGGGCAACCGGGAGCTGGCAGCGGGGGGCCTCTCAGCGCAGGGGCGCCAGCAGGACGAGGGGATGAGCCCTGAGCACGTTTTCGGACACGGAGCTCCAGCGGCTAGAGCAGACCCGAGAGTGGTTCGCCGCGTGCTCGGCTTCTCGGATGCCGTCCCTGGGCCGCGGGGCCGTCAAAGAAGCATTAGAAATTACAGTACTGGTCCAGGGGGAAAGACTCCGAAGGTTCGGGGGGCCACCGACTCGCGAAATCGAGTCGGAGGTCTGGGGATCGATGCGGATGTAGTGTCGCAAATGCTTGAAAAAGTCCCCAAATTTGGCGACGCTGCGCTCCGAAACCCCGGCTATTCACCCAACGCCCGCAACCAGTTTCCCTCCCCCCCACATCCCTGCAACTGCCGCCAGCAGTGCGGATACATCACCACGATCGCTGCCATGCGATCGCCATGCGCCGATTCCCCGTGGAGCTCGAAAAGACCCTTATGATCTCCGCATCCTCCCGAAGTGTAAACATTACTCCTGCCCTCCATGCGTCCCCCTCTGTCTCCTGTTCGGCCCCGCAAAAGGCATCCTGTACGAAACAGTGTCCGCGGTGATGTTGTCTTCCAGGAGCACCTGCGGAGCCCCGAAGTCATGCACGGGCGCGTGCGCGTGCACCGATTCTCGGACTCCTTTTCCGCAGCATCATCGTCACCCCATCCAGAACGTCGCTGCCAGCATCACCACGAGCGCACATCATCAGAGTCGTCAGCACCGCCCTCGGCACTACCATCACGAGCACCGGCGTTCGACGCTCTCCAAATGTATTGTGGAGCTGTACTTGTCTGTCTGCTTGAAACACCACATGTGCTTAGCGGTGCGCCACGTCTACGTGAAGACCAACAGGAAAAGCTAGAGATCGACAGTCGATGGCCCTGAGCGAAGCAGACGATGACTGCTACTTACCAAAATCGAAACACATGTAATCGTGCGCCGTCGTTACCATAAACGGCCTAGCTCACCGAAGTCACATTAGCCGTCAGTGTCAGCACACAATGTCCACAAGCTCCCCGCCGGCGTGGCAGGTAGGTGAAGTGAATTTGTCACGATCAGCCTCACTGAAAGTATCGCCGTCGTCGTTATAGCCATGCCCATCATAACAATCTTATCATCACCATCGCCGTCTTACCGTCGTCCAGGCCGCCGTTGCAGTCGCCACACGCATCGCATGCACGAGCGCGTGCCTGGTTGAGCATGTCCAGCGCCTCGCGCCACCTCCCGCACCTCCGGGCCAAAGGGGATGGGGCACAGCTGCACGTGCAGGGCGCTGCAGAGGGATCGAAGGGGTTGGAGGGGTGAGACCGAGTGCAACAAAGCCCCGTAAGCAGGAAGCCACTTGGGCTTCGGTTTCGGTTCTGGCTCGAGTCGCGCGCGCGAGCGAGGCGGGGCGAAGCTTCGCGCATTCCTGCCCTAGCCAGGCCCAGGGAAGACACGTTGCCTCCGCCCCCCCGCCGGGGTCCCGGGCGCTCGCGGGGGTTGTCCCGCGTTTGTCTTGTGGTTGTTCAGCGGTTAGCCAGCGGCTGTCCTGTGGTCGTCCCGCGGTTGCCCTGTAATTGTGCTGTGGTTGTCCTGTGGTTATTCCCACGGTTCTCCTGCAATTGTCATGTGGTTATCTCGATGAGTGTCACGATGATTGCCCCAATGGGTCTGCCGAGGTTGTTCCGAAGTTGTCCAGAGGTTGCCCCGTGATTGTATTTCGGCTGTCCCGTCTGAAGATAGACCATGAATGAGACCGGTATAGAAACAATGAGGCTGTTGTGTATATATATATGCATATATATATATATATGTGTAAAGATTTGCAATGAAATATACACACCGACAGTGGGATCGAACGGTGGATCGATAGTGAGACCGGCGCATAGCAAGACCAAACATACATTGGCAAGGGCATCCGGAGATGTGCTGCTAGACAGGAAGATCTTGAGAACGACCTATCGGTTCATGGTGATATCGGTAGATGTTGCAATCGGCAGATTATGAGATCGGTGTCCCATGATTGTCCCGTCGTTGTCCCGTCTTTGTCCCGTGGTCGTCATGTGGTCGTCGCGTGGTTGTCTTGCGGTTATCCCGTCTGTATGAAGAGGGACTGAGACGACAGATAAACAGGGAGATGGTGAGACATATTGACAGTGAAACGACTGATGTATCGATAGCGAGACGACTAGATCACGATGCATCGGAGATATCGACCGATAGATTCATGGTGTGGGCAGATCGACCGTGAAACCGACACGTTGGCAGAACAGTGTCCCGTGATTGTGCCGTGGCTGTTTCGTGGTTGCCCGATGGTTGTCCCACGGACAGCCTGTGGTCAATCAGCGGCTGTCCCGTTGTCGTCCCGTGGTCTTCCGATGGTTGTCCCGTGCGTGCCCCGCGGTTTGTCCCGCGGTTGTCCGAGGCTATACCGTGGAGATCAAGTGGTTGTCCCGTGGGTGTGCCGTGCTTATCTCGTCTATATGAAAGAGAGAGAGAGAGAGAGAGAAAGAAAAAAAAAATAGAAGAAAGAAATAAATGAAAAAACCTATATATATATATATATATGTACACAGATATTTGTGTATATATGTATCGAAACGCCGGCATGTAAAACAATATAATGATGGTGAGGTCATTGGATAGACAAGTCGTGAAATCTCACGATAGTGAAACCGAATGATAATCTGATGCTGGGATCGATGGATATATACTATAGTGAGTCGAAAAGATAACAAGATGCAGAGATCCGCCACCGTGCCGCTGAGCACGGAGTGGGCGTGTCCTCGGGTCATCTGCCTGATCCCTAAAGCCTCAAATCTCAGTTCTGAGGAGTCTTGTAGGGCCTGGACCCTCAATTGACAAAGTTCTTGGGGCCTGCTCGTTGCCCCCTGGACCCAGGATTGTCTCGCGCCACGTGTTCAAGACCAAGAGGGGCCCAAGACGGGCCAAGAAGGCCTCAAGAGGCCCCGAAGACGGTCCAACAGGGCCCACAGTCGCCGAACGATCGCTCCGAGACGCCCCAGAGGCCCCCAAGACGCCCCACGAGGCCTCCGAGAGGCTTCCCAACAGCGCTCCAGGAGGCCAAAATCCATCGACCCCTTGCAGGTCTCTGGGCGTGCAAGGTTCTTCCGCCCCCCACACAATCCTCCTCCTTCTCTTCCTCCTCCTCCTCCTCCTCCTCCTCCTCCTCCTCCTCCTCCTCCTCCTCCTCCTCCTCCTCCTCCTCCTCCCCCTGGGGACCCCAAACCGAGAGTCTGATTCCGCCCCGCCCCCGGCCTGGCGCGAGCGCGCCATGGGGAAGCCGAGCGCCCCAGATAGGGCCAAGAGTGCCCCAAGAGGCCCCCAAGATGGTCCCCAAGAGGCCCCCAAGAGGCCCCCAAGAGGGCCCCAAGAGGGCCCCAAGAGGACCCCAAGAGGCCCCAAGAGGCCCCCAAGAGCCGCCGAACAATTGCTCGAAGACGCCCAAGATGGCCTCCAGGCGGCTCACGGTGCCTCCAAGATGCCACAGATGGCTTCCACGAGGCTCCCCAAACGGCCCCAGGAAACAAGAACTGTCCCAACCCAATCTGGGAAACATACGTTTTAGCACATGCGCCTCTTGGGCTTTCACGACGCCCACGACGGCCCCAGAGACCCCCAAGACAGCTCCAAGACGGCTTGCAAGGCGCCTCAAAACGGCCAAAGAAACCTCCAGACGGCCCCAAGAGGGGCCCCAGAGAGGGAACATTCGGCCCCAAGACGCGCCAATGTTGCATCTGAAAACCCGCAAGAGCCCCAAGATGCCCCCAGGAAGCGTCAGGAAGGCCACAAGAGGCCATCAAGAGCCCCTGAGGAGGCCTCCAAGAGGCCCAACACTTGCCTCCAGGACGCCCCCAAGAGGCTTCCCACGAGACGCCATCAACTGCCTGACTGCCCTCAGCCCCACAACCCAGACACGGTGGCGGGATGCCCCGAAGGCCATTCGATTATCATTCAACGGGTGTTTCGCAGATGCCTGCCGTCTGTCAACATGGGCTGTCGCCTGTCGTCTTGGGATGCCAGCATCGTCCTGGACGACCACTGTAAGCCCGAGTGAAGACCCCAAGACGAGATCCTGACTCTTCCTTCTCCTTCTTCCTTCTCCTCCTCCATTTCCTCCTCCTCCTCCTTCTCCTCCTCCTGCTTCTCCTCCTCCTCCTCCTCCTCCTCTTCCATTTCCTCCGCCTCCTCCTTCTCCTCCGCTTCCTCCGCCTCCTCCTCCATTTCCTCCTCCTCCTCCTCAGTTTGCTCATTCTTATCGGCTTCGTCGCCCCTCTCGCCCTTTCTTTTCCTGGCCCCCAGGCTGAAAACTGCCAGCGGGATATGCTCAACCCCCTGGCTTCAAACCGCCAGCGAAGGATCCTCACCCGCCTAGCTTCAGGCTGCCGTTGAAATCTCCCGTCCCCTGGCGTAGAACTACTAACGAATTGAACCCTCACCCTAGCGAAATATCCTCGCCCCCTGGCTAAAAAATGCCCTCTGACGGCTCGGGCGATTCAGTCTGTTCAGTTAATCAGTCAGTAAATTCCTCCGCTTCCTCTTCCTGCGCCTCCTTCGTCTCCTCCCTCCTCCTCCTCCCTCATCCTCCCTCATCCTCCGTCGTCCCCCTCGTCTCCCTCGTCGTCGACGACGCCGTCCTCCTCCTCCTCCTCCTTCTCCTCCTCCTCCTCCTCCTCCTCCTCGTCCACCTTCTCCGACTCGAAGAGATTGCAATATTCACAGATAGACATAATCCGCCTCCATGCCTGAGGGCACAACAGGGCGTGCTCTCCCGGTCTCCCGGTTACCAGGATTGTCTACGGGGCCGAAGCGACCTTCAAGGCAGCTCACGAACACTTCAGGACGTCCCAGAGAGCCTAAAAACTTCACGTGATCGCACTTCGGTGACCGAAGATTCCCCGCGACGCCGCCGGGACGCACACGGAAACTTCCCAAAGGCTCGCCACAAGCGGATGGACCAGTATCTCCCCTACCCCGGATTCAAGGGGTCGGCAGATGTTGCGTAAACCTTTTTAGCATCCTTGATTATCCGAAGGAGTTTGAAGTTTTTTGTTTTCTCGCATATTCGGCTTTCCGACGCTCCACGACGGCCCAAGAAGCCCCGAAGATCGCCCACGGACGGCCCAAGAGGCCTCTAAGAGGGCCCCAAAACGGCTTCAGAGGGCCCCAAGACTGCCCAAGAGGCACCCAAGACGGCCCAAGAAAACCCAAAGACGGCTCCAGGAGGGGGCCCGGATGGGGGACCCGAAGGCCCCCAAGAGGCCCTCCAAGAGGCCCCCAAGAGGCCCCCAAGAGGCATCAAGATGCCCCAAGAGAACGCCAAGAGGCCCCAAGGGGCTCCCAAAATTGCCCCCAAGAGGCCCCCGAGAGCGCTCCGAAGAGACCCCAAGAAACGTCCCTGAAAGCTCTGACCCACAAACCAGGCACGGTGGCGGAATGGGCCGAAGGCCATCAGATCCGCCGCCCCCTGTTGATTTATCACAGGGGTGCCTGGCATGCTGGGGTTCTGATGGCTTTGGTTTCTCTAAAGACTCCCACTGGGGCTTCGGCTCATTGCGCCAGCCACCTGGAACACCTCCAGGTCGTCGGTTATCGGCTCCTGGATGGCCTCCATGACGGCCAAATTGGCCCAATGCCTCCAGGACGGCCAAGATTGCCCCAAGAGAGTCCAAGATAGCCCCAATGTGGCCTCCAAAACGGTCCAATATGCCTCCAAGACCGCCAAGATGTTCCAACAGAACCCAACACGGCCCATGAGGCGCCCAAGAGGCCCCTAAGACGGCCCAAGAGGCCCCCAAGAGGTCCTCCAGGAAGGCTCGAAGATGCCTAAATCATTGATTCCCTTAGGTTATTGTTCCGAGAGTTTGGAATGTACTTCCAAACAGGCGTCCGACGGTCCAAGACGGCCCAAGAGGCTCCCAAGATTGCCCCAAGATCGCCCAAGAGGCCTCTAAGATGGCTCCAGAACGGCCCAAAAGGCTCCCAAGACTGCCCCTGAAGGGCCTCAAGACAGCCCAAGGCATCCCAGACACCCAAGATGAGCTCCAAGACGACCCTGAAGCGCCCCAAGAGGGCCCCAAGACGGCCCAGAGAGGCTCCCACAAGACGGCGTCAGGCGGCGTCAGACAAGCCAGGAACGCCGCAAGACGGCCCAAGAGGCCCCCAATGGCCCACAAGAGGCCCCCAAGATACCCAAAGGAGGTCTTCAAGAGGCCTCCAAGAGGCCCACAGGAAGCTCCCAGAAGGCCTTGAGAATGACCCGAGAAGCTCCCAAGGGGTCTCCTGATCCTTCTCCTCATACTCCTTCTTCCTCCATCTCAGCATCCTCCACTTCATCCCCCACGTGTTCCCCGCAGGGCTTCCACAACGGTGGGGGGAACGCACGGTCCAATCACGTGACCAAAGCTTGCCAAAACGTTTTGCCGCATTGGCCTATAATATTAAAAGGCAGGGGGCGGCGGTGATCATCGAGATCGTTAGGT